AGAGGTGTTGGTGCCAGCGCTCCTGCCGTGCCTGCCACGCGGGTCGCCGGTCTCGGCAGTCACACTCACATCATGAGTGCAGAAGTGGGGTGCTGGGATTGATGTGTTTGGGGCGCGAAAACAGGCGAGTGAGGCTCACAGCGTAAGGGTACGGAGAGGGTTAAGGATATGGAGCGTGTCAGATCATATCCCTGTTGAGCTGTATTAATCCGTCGTCCATAATCTTGAGTGGTGATGGACAAGTTAGTGTTAAGTGGCAAACGCAAGAGGCTGTGATCCTGTCAGAGGAAATAAGACGTGGATGGGATCTGAGCAGTGCTGTTCTGGCACAGGCTTCATGCTGCCCTTTGCTCCATTTGTTTTGGGTTTTGTTCTTTAAAGCAATACAAGTCTATAAAAATACAGTTAATGCTGTGCAGCCGAGGGCACCACAGGCTGGGATGAGCCGCTGCTCTCATGCCTCTGAGGGGAGGGAGGAAGGACTCTGAAATGGAGACGCAGCAGCAGCGCTTTCTGCTTTCCTTCTGCTCCTCTCACCCTCTCTTCAGTTCTTTGATGTAATCCACAAGTTTGCAAAGGCAAGAACGAAGTGCAAAGTCGCTGTAAGCTTCAGGAAGCTCAGGCTGGCTGCTGAAGGGAATGGCAGCATGGCAGGAGCTGGTGGGTTTTGTTCCGGGACCTCCCAGGGGCCGGACCTGTTGTACTGGAAGAGCCTGATCCTCTTGGCTTAGTCCTTGTGTGATGAAGCTCCATCATCTGGAAAGCAAATGAGGTTCCTGCTCCCACTCTGGGAGGCAGTTCCTGGATCTCACTGCTCTGATGTCTGGAAACCTTCCCAGGGCTTCCCACCCCGCTTTAGCGATGGTGTCTGCTCCCCGTGAGGCCGTGGGGCTGCGTGGCCGCGGAACCTCACGAGCGGAGGACAGAGCCGAGGGGTGCCTGTGAACCTGCACAGGAACTCGGAGCCTCCCCTTGGTGCTGCCGGGTCTGGTGCTGCCCCATCTTGCAGGGTGTGGAGGGCTCTTGCTCGCAGGCAGCAGGAGCTGGGGTGATCCCACATCGATGGTGGGTGCGGAGGACTCGGTTCCCTTTCTCCGGGGCTCCCAGCAGTGGCCCAGCTCCTCCTCGGCTCCATGTGTGAGGGGCCGCGCTGGCGCTGGTGACGGGGCGATGCTGTATCTCACGTGCCGAGGCCGGGCTCATCTTGCTCATCCCGGCGCCGTGGGCAGCACAAAATGGAGCGGGGCGGCATGAGGAGAGGCCCCGTGGCCGCTCTCCACTAGATGGCAAGCTGAGACCAGCCTGCTCAGTGCACTTGTGTCCCGGTGGGGCTCGGACACCCCCTGTGCCCCCAGGGCTCTGTGGGGTCTGTGCCTGCTCTCAGCCACCTGCGCTGGGGGATGTGGGTCTGGAGGAGCAACATGTCCCCCCAAGCCGGGCTGCTGGTGTCTGCCACCTGCACCAGGGCTGTTTGTGCTGCCCGGGGTGGGAAGGTGCTCACTGCCCAGTTTTGTCCCAAAATCCGGCACAGCTCAAAATTAGAGCTGCTTCCCTCCTCTGTGTGCACCTGCCTGCCTTCTTCCCCATAGTGTGGGAGCGGGCAGCGTTGAACGGTGAGGGAAGGGACCTTAAAGCTCATCCAGTTCACAGGCAGGGACACCTTCCCCTAGAGCAGGTTGCTCCAAGCCCCTGTGTCCAACCTGGCCTTGAACACTGCCAGGGATGGGGCAGCCACTGTGGTGGTGCTGGAGCCTGCTCGGTGTTGCTGCTCTGGAGATACGGTGCTGGGTTCCTGTAGCAACCCCCAGCACCACCAGGCAGCCCAGCCCCGCGTTCCTGCCCCGCGTGCAGCACCCTCGCCTCCCGCCTCCTCCTCACGTATTGCTTCTGGGAATTCTTTCTAAAATTGTTTTTCATTTTCCTTGTCTAATTATACAGAATGGTGAGAGATTTATTTCCCAGTGGAAATGATGTCTTTTGAACTCAATCCAGTCCTTTCAACCT